AGAATGACATCAGTTTGTCACCAAACTCCATACTCACCTCCTGTGGCTTCGCTCTTTAAAATTCCTACAATCTCTTTGTGAAATGGCAAACTCCCAAAGATCTGTATGCTGCTCAGTTTTTCCAAGGTTCAGCAAAATGAAGCTCTTTGTAGCTCACATTTGTAACTGTTATGACCTGAACAAACACCTTTCAGGGAGAATTTGGGCAAGGCACGAACTGTGCTGCAGGGCTGTCAGCTTTTATACGCTCTTTCAGTGATTCAGAATAAGACAACAGAATCAAGCCTATTGGTTGATTAGTCATGTATTTATTAGTGGTTTTAACATGCAAAACTAGTATAACAATTATAGAAGTTAGAAAAAAAATATAGCACTGAAAAAAGTATTCATGCAGAATGAGGCTTCTACTTGAACTATCCTCCACAATCACCAGTTAGTTGATTTGTCCCAATATTTATAGTTCATCATCGCAACTGCCAAAACTGGCAACCACCAGGATTGTTGTCTCAATTAAGGACAGTAAACAGATTGCCCCATTTTTTTTTAATGAAAAAATCTAAAATGTAATACTTCACAGTTTAACATGTTTATTCATTTAAACGAGCTAAAAAATAGTGGTGTGACATCTGCTTGAGAGACACTGGTACCTAACATTTTGGCTGTCTCCCCACCGATTTGGTTGTGATTAAGAGGGGATAAAAGAAAGAGTAGAGGATTCTGTCAATTAAATGCATTGATGAACTACAAAAAATATTTTTCCACTCCTGGAAAAGTGTAGAAATACATCTACAAAAGAATGCATTACAGCAAACTAAGAGGATGATGGGGAAAACTGTTGCAAAATATCTGTCGGCTCTTTCAGGGAAGAATATTGTAAGCACAAGATCACAGACAATCTTTGCCAGTTTATTCATCTCATGGCTTCATTTCCCAAAGTGCAGGCATAATCCACTACAAAATCTTTTAAGAAGCAGTTCCAACATCAAATTTCTGCTGTCTTATTGATGTGCCATATTGTTATTTTCTTAGTCATAAGCACCACTAATTATTATGCTACTGTAAGTAAAACTTGAAATGCGATCAAGATCTGTAGTATCCTGTTTGTTGGCACCCTAACTTGCCTAGTCTGCATTTCAAGTACAGTCCTTTACTGAGAATTGTCCTGAATGCATTTGACCTTCACCAACTGGCTCTGTGTGCCTTATAGGCACAATCCCGTATCAGCAAAATGAATCATCACTCTACCAGGAGCTGCTAGCAACATTTTACTCCCTGAAAGGGCAGCATTCAAATCTTGGCCCTAAGTCAGCAGCTAAGCTTCTTCCATGGTAGCAATTTTCATGGAAATGGGATGAGTGGTTTTGTAAGGCTTTCACTGTGCCTTCATTTAGTAGGGTTGTTTAAAAACTGTTTGTTTTCAAACACAACTTGTTAGGTCAACTACTCTAGATGACACCAAACAGATGAGTTTGCTCACATTGCGTATGTTCGCAGTTACATGTTGCAGCATCATCTCACAGTCTACGTGTCATCCCTGCTACAGCTGTCTGATGCACGGAAGGAGCTATGACAGATCCTGAATCACATGGTGTCTGTAAGATATGCAACAGTGAACTTTAAATAAAGTGTTCTTCAGGAAAAGTTTAAATACATCTCTAGGGTCCATTAGGGAAATGCTTAACATGCCTCCTAAGCTTCCAGTAAAATATATTTATGGACTCTAGGAAATAGAGTTAAAGCCTTTCCTTGGCAATGTTCACCAGCAGCACTAGTAAAACTACTATACTGAGGCTTCTGTCCTGAGATGGTCTACATGCTGGTTCTGCTCTTGTAGGATCAAAGGGAAAAGGAAAACCGCTGAGGAAAGATTTACTGAGCAAAATCACTGCTGGAAGACTGTTGTGCCTTCCTAGCCAGAGACTATTCCAGGTGGGACATCCACTCCGACCCACAGCATGAGGACTCGGTACAGGCATCTCCTCCACAACCTCTGCTGGAAAGAAATTCAGTTTACTCCACAAGCAGAGGGCAACAACAATACTGACATCTACCCTTTCCCCAGAGGCGAATATCCTTGAAAAAACCTGCTCTGTTTACACAGCAGCCCTGGCTTAACAGTTTGATCAGCAATCTTTGAAACAAGCGTATAGATGTATTACTTTTATAATAAAGTCAATCTGTCTGAAGTTGATGGGAGCTACACAGAACAACTTTGTCTTCACAAAGAGATGTGCTCTATTGGTATTGGGTAGGATGCCAAGGGAAGTTCTCTTGATTGTCTTTTAAGTATTCATAGGCTACACTTAGTTTTAATATGAATTTAGGGGCTAGAAGTGCCTAGAATAATCCAGATATTCTAAAAGTGGTGAGTATCACTGCTCACATTTGAATATTGTGCTGTTCAGATTGCTTTAATGTCCTTTCAAATGTATATATAATTCAGTGTGACACATCCAACATTAATAAGAGCACAAAAATAGTAAAAATACATTTATTATTAAAATAGACACTGAGCAACTCATACAAAGATAGGTGGTCCAAAACCCAAGAAGCATTCAATCTCAGATATAATTAAGGGCAAAATAAGCCACATGTTTGCAAGATTAAAATCAGTCTCTACTTAAAATATCAGGCATGGACAATGTAGCGCTCCAGAAAGCAGAAATAATTTCAGGTCAGATTCTGATTTTCCCTGGGAGTAAATCAGTTGTAATTTCAGTGAACTCAGGGGAATCATAAATTAGTAAGCTCAGAATCGGACCTCATTGCTAATACTGTTGTGCTTGTGCCTTTTAGAAAACCAAGGATGAATAATGTGATGAAAAATGGGAGCTTTTAGCTTTAAAAAACTATTGACATAGTCCCATTAGAAATTTTTGTACCGATAAGAGAAAAAGTGTATTTGTTGCAATATTTGCCATGTATTCCTATGTACACTGAACAGAAGTCTATCTAGTTTATCTAAGTAAAAGGAAATTTTCTTGTTACATAAGAATATCTTTCATGTAAATAAAAAGGCCTAATCTAAATGAAGCCAACAGACAAACTGCAAACTATGGCACTTGTGGGCAATATGGACTCATAAGCCACAAATCAGGGAAGCTGCTTCAGTCACACATATACACGCTTTGGATTTTGTCTATGAGTCATAATTATGGGAAATGCAATCTTCCTGTTCTAGAAACTACATATTCATAAATTTGACAGTAAGAATAGCTTGCTTTTTAATGTAACTGATGCAGAAAGCAGGTTACAAAACAATCTGCATGAATGGGATAACGACACATCTTTCTCAGGCCACACATCACCCAGAGAGCTATGTGCAGACACTAAGAAAGCAATCCTTCCAGCATTTTATGGAACAAGAAAACTGCTCATGCAAAGTAACAGGAGAGGTCTGCAGCTTCTTATGACATGTGCTGTGGCACCAGTGAAGTGAAAGGCATGTCACATCCAAGGAGACAGCTTGTGATATGCTTTTCCCTCCACTGAAAGTCGGGCCATGTGTCAGATAATGCTTCACCATAAAAGCAACATGTTGCTAAGCGTTCGCTCATGTGTGCAAGTATTAGTGGACTGTAAGTCATATGAATGCATAAATGTTAGGATTTTGTGTCTGTAACAGTCATAATTAGAAAATGAGAAATATTTGCACGTGTATGTTTATGCTTCTATTTCATATTCTTCTCGGAAGACTGTTGTACTCTGAATTTCTAGAGGAGTTGTTTTGCATTGCATAAAGTGAGTGAGGTGTACGACAGATAAGAAGTGGGTCCTTGGAGACTCATAATGTATATGTTCATAGTTACTGTATAGTTTAAAAATTAACTGTATTGATCTAAGTTCCGTAAGTGGTGATAATGGGACTGTGTCAATTTAAAATAAATATATTTTCCATTATAATATTTGCTATGATTTGTATCCCTTTGTCTTCAAAATCACTGTGAGAAATCTTAGTCAGGCATTTCTGGAACAAGTCACTAAATATCTCAGTTGCAACTAAACCTATCATTCAGCCCTGAAATTGGTATCAAAGATAAAGCCAAGCTAGTTTGATAATAGAATTTCAGAATCATGATAACTTTTCTGGAAGCCAATCTGCCTAACTTCCTTGCCACGTTCAGCACCAATGACTCTATGCTTTTCTTGGTATCAAAGTGAATCCAAACTAGAGAAAGACTGGCCACATTTTTAAAAGGATCAAAATGGAACCTTTACAACCACAAGCTCAGTTATATGCCAAACCCGAAACAGAACAGGATAAAGCTAGAATTTTACAGCTCCCTGCAGCTGCTTTGACATACCAACTTCTTCAAGTGGCTTGTGGTTATCAAAGGGATCAGAAATGTTATCTACAGTGCATATTGTGAAAGGTACATTGCAAGAACTGAAGGATGTCATGGGGCCAAGATTTGCCCAATTATTAGTATGCATGAAAAAAAAGTTTTCTGAATACTTACAACTTCTCACATTAGTGTGATGATTAAAATCATTGTATAACTGAAAAGCAATTTTTTTACAACATCCCCCTAACAGGTAGAGCAAGTTGATATCACAACCAGCAGGAAGAGTATAATTAAAATACGATTTTGACTTTATATTAATAATAGAGCAATACACTAATTAAAACCAACATCGACTGAACTTTCTATTTACACTAGTTCAGACAGCACAGGAGGCAAAGAACTGTGTTTCAGAGGCATACGCGAATGTTAGAGCTTCTGTCATCCAGGTGCCATTTCTGACAGAACACATGTGTGCTGAACAGTTGGCAAAAGAATGAAAAAGATTACTGCAGATATATGGGCACACAGAATCTGGGATGACATAAAATTAAGTCCATATAGGAGGTGACAGACTGCTTCTAAAAAGATATTTTTTCCTACAGTTTCTTCCATCTTTGTGCGTGTGCACACATGCACAAGAAAGATTAAAAGGGAGGGAAAGGATGAGGGGTTTTTGATATATTTTAAATACAAATGAAGAAAAGACTTTTTATTTGGTATTTCTGCTTTCTTTTGGGAAAGGAAAAGGAACTTAATTTGGCTATTAGGAAGCTTTGATTCCTAAACTTAGTCAAGGCAGACTCTCCTCCTGTGAAGTCAGCATCAATACCCATGATAATAATAGCACCTGTCTTTTGACTTCAAAGTTCTCTGCCTGAGAAAAAATAATGTAAACAATAAACTTCATGTATTGTACTGCTGCTCCTGGCTTTGGTGGTAACCAAATACACTTGCCGGGCATGAGTGTTCTCTTATTTTGGAGATCTGGAATGTGAAAGTGACTGACGTATTGGAAAACTTTCTTATGAATTTGGACTGCAAGAAATGGCATCATTTACTGTCTCACAGTGAAGAGACTGTGTGTTCCTATGTAGTTTTGTTCAAGCTGAAGAAATCTTGGTGATAGATTCATTGCATCTGCTAGTTTTCATCTGGATCCAGATCAAGGTCAACTTCATTGGAAATGTTAAGATAAAAGAAAGCGTAGAAAGCCAACAAAAATACCAGTATAGCTGCAAGGACAAGGGCAACTTCCTGTAGAAATAAGAAAAAAACCAACAAAAAACAACCTGTTAGAAATAGTACCATATTTTCAGATAAATCAGGAATAAATATTATTTCCATTCTATAATGCACATCAAAAGAACATCTGACATATATAATTGCATAAGGCATTGATACTTAAATGATTTCTTCTTTGTGATTACCATTTTGGAATATTATAAAATCCATTCGCTTAATAAAGATTTTGGTGAGTCTGGTATACTGCCAGAAATAGGATATTTGGCTTAAAGATCTTTGGTCTGACCTAGAAATAGGAGCTTTATGTCCTTTTATTATGCTATTCCTTCTTTTTGAAAAGAAAAGACAGAATTCACAAACCACAGTTTTGAACACAAATTTAGTTACGAATTTACACTGTGAATTTTGATGTTTTCTAGCAATATGTTACTGCTTTTTGCCAACAAATTTGTAATTTTTTAATGAAGCAAACACAGTATGGTGGAAGTCAATGAAAATTGCTACCTCTACCTCCCAACCTCCTGGCATGCATTACAATATGGAGCTACAAAATCCTTCAGAATTGGATGAAACTTTTCTTCCTTTCCCTCTGCAATAAGGCAAAAAGCACAACAATTTGCACTTGCACTTGCCTCTCTTCCCATATAATATTGCAACTCGCTGCATCTTCCTTAATTAACATAAAAGAGTCTTCCAAAGTATACATGATTTATAGCAGCTTTCAGAAGCAGAAAAATGTTTTTGTACTACACGTCATACTCATTATGTGACTGCCTATCATCATATTCTATCTTAAGGCTGGACTCTGTTAAGCTCCAACTTTAGATCTCACATATAATAAATCATAGTATGATCATCCTCTTTATAACACTACTTCTTTCAAAGTCCCAGTATTTCACATTTTTAAGTTTTTATTTTCCTGGAAAGCACAGCACACTTCCTATAGTGTTGACTCTCATTTTGCTAGACAATGAAAGAAATATAAATTTGAGAAAAATCCTTATGTTCCTTCAGCTCACAGAAAGTGCCACTTCCACAGCTAACAACATGCACTGCTTCATTCCTTATCATCATGATGTATTTTAAAAATCATGCACTGAGGTGCTCAAAAGGAACAGGTTAGTTTTTACCCCCCCAAACCGTTTTCCCTCCACAAAAAGAAGCAACAACCTCCCCTCTGTATCTCAGCTGCATGTTAACCTACAAACCATCTGCATCAGAACAATCCAGCTGTATACTTAAAAGGAGAGAAGAAAAACAGTTCAGTGACTTTATAACAACTAATCTGAATTGGTACAGAAGATGCCACATCGAATCTACTCTGCCAGTGGGACTGAAAGGAGATGGCTACACCGCTCCTAGACAATCGGACACCCTTTACTGTCCAAGGAGAGAACGTGACCCTCTTTGGTGTAAGATTCATTGTGTCCTCTAAAAGAGGTCAGATGGATTCTTCCTAAAAATGACTATTTCTCCCCGTAGACTAGAAGGGGAGTGGAGGTGATATCTCTGGTGCGGAGACCTGCACTGGAGGACAAATTCCATCTAGTATGTCTAGATTGGTGGTGGCTTTGTGACCAACTTTGTGTGCCCACTGCCATGAAGGAGTTAAAGCTGTGTTAGCTTCATTTTTTGAAGTCTAGCCCATAATCTGGCATTCTTCTATAGAACAGCATTTCATTTGCATTTACATGAATGCATTATATAGTTTATCAGAATGTTGGATCAATAATTCAACATATGCCATCTAATAAACTTTGAAATACTACTGCCTAGTTGGCGTATGCTCTATAGGAGTCTTTGTTCTATAGAAACCTTTGCTTTACATTTTATATGGATGCTTAATTGAGATGTACTTTAAATTTATTTTACCACATTAAAATTGCTCCTGTAAATTTGCTGAGGCTGTTTGCTACAGATTTCAACTACGTTTTCCTCTTAGAATTATATCATCCTCTGAACCTCATCCTCCTGATTTCATATGATTTGATTAAAAAAAAGAAAGTACATCTAATTCACTAATATATTAAAGGAAAGTGATTTTTGCTTTGTTGCCGTTGCAACACGTCAGTATCTCACAAAAGGGCATGGCAGCATCAGACAGGTTTCATTTATTTCCTTGTATCCACAGCTGTGCTCCCAGACCCATCTGGCCACACAGCTACTAATCTTAAAAGGATGTAATAAACAAGTGACATACAACTGCAAGCTCCATCTGCTCAGGAGAGTGGACAACAAAACCGTACAATGCAGGCACCGTTCACACTTGACACAGAGAGCAAATTCATTCAAGTATTAAAAAGTTTTTTCCCTTGTTTGGATGCCACGCTTGCCACGCTTTCTGCTTTACAATAGGTTCACCTTTCCTCCCGCTTCTCCCCAGTCTCCCTTATGAAGCGCTGTGGTAGCAGCCGCAAAATTTGGGGAATGTTTGCATTAAAGATTTGTTTTCTAGAAGTGGAACTGGGAAAATCTGGATTTTTATTCTCAGGCTGCCCAGTAACCGCTTTGACGGGAGGAGTTCTTTAATTCCTCTGCTTAAGTTTTACAGTGAATAACACTGAGATAACAATACTACTTCGCTCACACAGGCATTAGGAACCGGGTGGCTGGATCAGTATTTATTAACCCTGGGAATGAAAAGCCTTATTGAAATTCCAGGTTTGAGAATTATGCAAGAACCTTAATTTTGAGTTACTGAAGAAGGCAGAGTAACAAAAATCTAAAATAAACAGCCTAACAAAGGACACCTGGCTCTCAGCTAGGGACATGCAATCTCTTAAGAAATGCATCCAGTTTATGAACTTTTATGAACATAAATTTTGCAATATAAATAGCAAATGCAATCCTACACCACTATACCGCCTTTGCAACAACAGTATATATTGTCATTTTAATTTGTTTTATACTTATCAGACTTTGTATTTTAAGCCATGCATAGAAATGAAATGTTAAAATACTCCCCACTTGGCATATATAGCTCCTGTTCTCTTGCATTTTATGGATCATCCCCACCATCCCTCTTCAAAATCCATTTACTCAGAGGATTTCAGCATGAATAATTAACCAGTATAGAAAAAGTCCTATAGAAATAAAGTTAAAATGATCACAGGGCTTTTTCTCCTTTTTTTCTTTTATAACATGGTACAGAACGCTAGGAAATAACATCCCTGCTCTCAAATCCCAAAGTACAGTCAAAGAAGCCTTTAAAAGGAACAGAATTTTCTATTATATTTTCATATATTTAGAATAATGTCTGTAGAACCCTACTGATTTCAGCTTGGTTAAGTTTTCAGAAACTTTTCCATAAAGGAAACACATGCCATTACAGCATAACGTTGATTTAATTCTCCTATCGGTTTTTGTCAGTTTTATGTCTCTCATGCCAAAATACTTGGATAATGTCCTCAGATTCACCCTGATGGAGAAAGTTGCAGAGTTAGGATCTAAACAAGTTTAATCAGGAAATGAAAAAATTAGGGTTAGGAAAAATGTTGGCTATAACAACACAAATCTGGACACTGCGAATGGCAGCATCGTATCCTACACATATAGAGAAATACCACACTTTCAGGAAATTTCGGATTTTTTACATATTTTTTATTGTCCTCCAAACAGAATCGTACTATTTTTATCTGAAAACTAGGTGAAAGAGTATCACAAATTGCTGTCTTTGAAATGCTAAACTATCCCTAGCTATTTCTGAAAAGAGATGAAAAGAAAATCATGCTGACCAAGGATACCTGTAGAAATAAAACAAACATACGTGGACTTGACTATCAACCTTTTTATCCCATATAATTTCTAACTAGAAGACTTTATCTGGACATTCACTGTGACCATTTTTTAGCGTTTCAACAAAATGATATTTAAAAATGGATGTTTACTTCCTTAATGCAGGTTATTCTACATCTAATACAAGGTAACAAAAGTAATTTATTAACTTTTGTCAGTAATTTTTGTGTTATAAATTTTTATTGTAAAAATTTCAGATGGAACAAAGATCATTATTGTCTCAAATGAGAACAAGGTACTATTACAGAATCATCTAAAAGGCCTGGCTATATGATCACAAAGCAACAGGATTCATTTTAATATAGCTAAATGCAAGATCATATATACAGGTATCAAAGATGTAGATAGTACTTACAAAGTGGAGGACTCTGCCTTGAAAAACTGTGACTCTGAAAAGGTCTTTGGATTTAAGGGGTAACCACTCCCTCAGTGTGATCTCTGGACGTGCAAAGGTGGAGAGATTTCCAGTAGGGAGATGACTGGCATTTATTTTATCATAGAGAAGAATGAGAGGTAGTTTGGTTACAGCATATAACTATATATGCCATACACCTGTATTTAAGTAAGGCTCTTCACAGTGTGGCATCCTTTCAAGGTCCAGCTGTGGTTAGATAAGCTCAGTCTTGAAATAAGATGCCATTTCCTAGGAGCAAGAATGACTGAACATCCCAGGTACCTCTTGGGGAAAATATGGACTTCCGTGGCTGTGAGTCTTTTACGGTCAGATCTCTCAAAAAAAAGTATATTTTTATTTAGCTATTGGAAAGAATACTTCAACTTGGGCTGGTATGAAAAGGAGGTTCTGGCTGCCAGCCTTCGAGCTGGCAAACTCAGCCCCCCAGACTGCTTCAGGAACCCAAGAAGACTGGGATTACTTACATGGTCAGTGCTATATTCTGAACCCCTGAGTTGTTAAAAGATTGTTAAAACTAATGGCACCTCATGCTTTAGTGCTTCAGACTTTTCTATATAGGATCAAAAGAAGTTTCCTTCTTTTTCAGGAATTTTTCCTCCAATTGTATTGATTTCATTTCTGGGATTTGAGGTTTTGTTATTATCAACTATCCTTTGAAGTGTTAGAGATTGGTCATAAGTAGAGACCAAAGCCTGAAAAAGATGGACTACTGCTTTGAGATGGTACAGAAAATCCTCCTAAGCTCCTGCTTGGTGCATCTTGTTCACGTGCTCAAACCACCACGATTACTGTACTTACGTGTACAGGTCAGGCCAGGGTCAAATGGGAGCAATCTGATTTTGTTTTTCCCTTTGTACGTTTTTTTTTTTCCCTTCCCTTCCATTTCAAGGTCAGGGATCAAAGTCTGACTACTGGGATCACTAGGAATATCACACTTAGTTCACTGGCGGCACATTAAGCTGCCCTGCTCTTTATGTGAGGCACATAAGCTGGTTTGAAGACCCAATATTTTGGCCATTATAAAGTGCCTGGACTTCCAGAAAGTATTTGGATGAAATTTTATGATTTGTAACATATAGAAGGGCAGATCAAATGATCTAATAGTCCCTTGTGGCCTTAATTTCTGCAAAGCTATGAAACTATATTCCCAACTTATCTTGGCAAATGTAGTTCACTAACTTAGCAGATTCTGAACAGCGTGAAATCAGAGACTACCCTTTGCCAAAGTACATTAGGAATGTCTTGTTATCTATTCATACATAACTTGTTCCAGATGAGATGAACTCTTAATAGTGAGCTAGCTAGCTACACAATAGATTAAGTAGATATGCAAGAGAATGACAGACAGTAAGCTCTCTCTTTTTTAGGCAACATTTTTTCTTTAGCTCAATCAATGTACTACGTTGCTAATAATTCTCTATGGAGTGGTATTCTGCAGTTGATTATGTCTTTGCAAGTGGGTGTAAAATACTACTGTTCAGATTTGTGTCTACCTTTCAACAAGAGAGAAAACTTCATCATCTGTCCCATGGACCACTGATTTATTCGTGCAGTCTGTGAAAAAAATCTCTCCCCAAGAACTCCCATTGCTTTTGGACTCTGCATACCAAACCCCAGCTACCTGGGGCTGAGCTCCCACATTCCTCAAACCATTTGCTGCTTGCCACCCTCCTGCTGGCAGCTCTTCCTCACCCACCCGCGAGCAGAGTTAGCATCGATGGTGCAGACCCCTCGCTGCTCCACCTGGTAAGGATGAGCAGGTGGGCTTCCACCAGCACGAGCCCCCCACGGCGGGGGACAACCTACCAACTATACAGAGAAGGTTCAAAGGCTCCCTTTTTGGTACTGCTACAAAGACTTTTGTCTTATCCAAACACCAGGAGACATACAGCATACTGCTTTCTCTCAGAGTTGTTTCTCCAAGACGGGGTCCTGCTTTTCCAAGAGACCCCATATATTTTGGCACTGTCTGCGTTAGTGTCACATACACAAACAGAGCCAGCACAACAGCTCTGCTACAAAATTTAATTTTTAAACACATTTAAAGAGCAAATATTACACACCAAATACTAGCATGGTCACCCTGCCTGAACTAACTTTTGATAGTTATTAGTACTTAGCTGCTTCTCTGACATTATCAACACGGATACAATCTCTCATTGGGGAAATTAAAAAGTACTAAATGCCAGTGACTGAAAGAAACTTTGTTACTTTAAACCTTGCATTAAAATGACAAGGCAATCAAAGTTTGACAAGACAAGCTAATTAGTATGCCAGCGATGAAATGTGAAGGATCTCCAGGGGATTGGTTCTGAAAAGTTTTATGTCATTTATAGGGCCTTTTTTTTAAGCAAATGTTGTCAGTTTTCATGGTGAAATACACAACAGTTGAATTTCATTATCTTCATAGAAATTAAGGACTAAAATCCCTTCACTGTTTTCCAGTCCTCTTCTTTTTTTTCCCCTAAATACTACACCAAGTCTTAGTTTACAGCCAGGAATATAAGCTCTTCTGGACAATAGTGCAAAACAACTCTAGACATATCAATGAGCACTAAAAACCCTATCATTTTAAGTGGCAGTATGGTACTTATTGTGTTAGGTATTTCACAGAATTATAAAAATATTCTTCTTTCCCAGAGAGCTTGTACTTTTACATGCAAGATAAGGATATCCCTCCTCTACAATATTTTTATTAACTGCAACTTAGCTTTTTATAAGAAAATGTTAATATATTTTGAAACACTGCATACTGTAGCATGTACTGAAACCTGGATATAAAAGTAAAATATATGGTAAATACACATATTTATGTGTTTTCTCAAAGTTTTACAAGAACTTTGGACATTTCTGTATAAAGTGCTGCCTGTTTATTACATTGCACTGTAGTTACACCACTTTTTTCTTCCTCAACACTGAAGTTAGTCAACTGTCAGAGCACAGAATTGGGGCCTACATCATATAAAAAGACTAAAATCCCAGCCTTTGGAAGGTGAATCATGTCACTTATCACCATCAGAAAACTTTGTTAATATGAAGTGACAACTGTGACGATACCTTCCCAAAGGAAGAGCTCAGGCACACTCAAAAGCTCTGAATATTAGGACACAGTTAAAGGAATGCACACGCAAGCCTCAAAATAGTTTCACCAAGGTACATAACCTGATGGGACCTCAACTCTGCTGACTATTCTGGCAGCCACAGGCACGAGGAGCAGTTTAACACCCTGCTGTCAACGCTGAGCAGGAGACTTCAAGAAATTCTTATTTCAAAATTTATCCAGAAGACAACAGAGGAGTATCTGGGACAGGTGTGGAGGATGAATGTAAGAAGATTGCTCTTGGACACCTGGAGGAACTTAACAACGGACTGAGCCAAACAAGCCCTGCCTGAGAGAGGGGGAGAGGTACCAGGGCTTCACAGCTAAGCAGCCTCTCTGGGGGTAGGGGGGGTGATTTCCCTGCAGATGCTCCAGGCACATCCACTGCCCACGGCGAAGCTCTGCTGAACTGGAGGGATAGAGCAGGGTGAAGAGTTGTCACCGCGAGACGGGAAGAGGTGTGCAATTTTACTCTGAGACATTAAATATGCCTCGTTTCCGCGCTGAGCGCTGCAGGGTCTGTCAGCAGAAGTGCAGAGTTTTATTCTACCGGGATTGCCCATATTCTGGTAGAAGTATTGTAACATTTAGTAAGCCTGAGGTTGTTGGCATTAAGCAGGTTCAGTGAGAAGGATGCATACAAAGGCCCTGCTTTCCTTCCCCCACAAGCACATTCCCGGAGGGAAAGGTGCCCAACTTACTTTCCCTTTTGCTTCAGCTCTGTCAGCTTTTCTCAGCAATTAGGGAGCAAAGCAAATGACTGTGATCTGTTTGAGGATGATCCAGAGTCATATTTTAAGGTCCAAGCATGCAAAAAATATTACAGCCACAAGACAGTATTTTAAAGAATTTCCTTCTTTTTTTTTTAAAGGCAGAGGCAGAATTGCAAACCCGAGCCATTGCATACTGCAAATAGCAGAACCCCAGAAACACAACAACCCATGACCTGGAGAGCATGTGTGTGCCTTAATGGCAAAACTCATTCTTACCTAGAAGTCAGCTGGTGTTCTGCTATAACCTTCATTATACATATGATTACACATATGCTTTCCTATTCCCCCTCATTTTTAAGTAAGAATTACTTAAGAAAATGAGGAAAAGGTTCATTTTTTTCTCACTTATGAAAGACATGCAAAAAACTTGCACATTTTAAAAGAACTAGGCTGTACAGTAGAAGTCTCCAAGTAGAACATCACTTCTAAAAGGTCATGTCATTGAAAGTAAAATGAAAAGTAAAATTTAATAAGAAAGGAAGGAAAAAACATTGAACTCAAAAGGTTAATAATCTATCCTTTAAACAAAAAAGGCAATCTACTTTTTCTCATTAAAACCTGACACACAGCACTAACTGAGGAGATTATGTTGTGAAAACATACTGCATCGCACGGTAATGCTTGATCGAGATCAGCAATCAGGAGCAAAAAGAAAGCACTGTTTCGTGATTATAATAGCAAATTCTGGAAGACAACCAAATACATCATCTGGCAGCTCAACAGCTGTTACAGCTTGGTAGTAATACCTTGGCATTTGCTATAAGCTATAACTTGAAAAAATTGATTTCTCATCTGCCAGAAACAAGAAAATGTTCTCCTTTTAACATTTCTGAAGTTTCTTTCACTAGAATACCCAGGTATTTGACCCATTTTTTTATTTTGCTTGGTTTTTTACCCTTACTAATTCTGTATTGATCTGATTAAAAAGTAAGTTTTTAGGGAAAAATACTGGATACAACTTAAATAAACAATGTGCATTCAGATGAATCCTGTTTTGATGACACACCAGGTAGTAGACAGCACAAAATATCCCTAATTGTCCTCCTTGCTCATATTCACAGCTGTGAGCAAATAGTCGTTATTATACTCCATACCTGCCTGAAAAAGGGACATTTCCAAAATAAAGTTCTGTACCTTTCCCTGTGTTTTGCTGTTAGTTAAGACTTCTTTTTCCAAGTCAGAGGCAGTATACAAGGATGTAGACCAAGATAATAATGACAAGAATTTACAATACTTAACAAACCCAGTCTTTAAATTACTCCTGGATATAGGATAGGAAGAGGAAGAAGAAAGATGTTTATTGCAATTTTTAGAACTATATGAAATTGTTAAAGCATTTGTTCTGCGTGTAGAGAGGCTCCCTGAAAATATCAACTTTCTAAGCATACAGTACTTTACTGACCTTAAAGTAAGTCTGCATCATAACAAGAACAGGGACTACTTAAAATCTTTTAGCATTTCAACTATTCTAGTTATTTTAGGGTTAAGTAAAAGCAATCCATCATAAATATTTTAGATTCTGGCATTCCACTTAGATTTTGAAGTGTCATAAACAATATCTCTCAGAAATCAATATTCACACAGTACATCTGTGGGGAAAAGAAAACAACATATACACAAAGGTGGTATGAGCTATCAAATAGATCTCTACCTTTACGCCTAGTGCAGTTTTCTTGGCCTCTGCTTTTAATCTTGTAGCTCTTAACATAGGCCTGGTTTTCTTATAATCTTGTTTTCCTAGAGTAGAAAAGCACATTTAATGAAAATGATGCAAAAAGATTATAAAGAATGTCAGCAATTATTTCAGTTGAAAAGTCAGATCTAACATTTTTTAAAACATCCCACAGTCCAGCACTTTAAACAGGAGCTACTCTGTAAAACGGGCTTAATCCATGGAACAACGGTCCTTAACACAGACAATGATAGCAACCAGCAAGAGCTGACAAATCAGCGTAGAACCTATTACTCCGGAGGGACATCAAAATACACATACAGATAGCCATCCACTAGTACAATATTTATTAAATTTTTCAGTAAGCATCAGAAAGCAAGTAAGTAGATTAAAGGTGGATGACGTTTTTCCCTCACATTTCAATCAAAACAAAATTTTCATTATAATTTTTGTTGGTTAGTCATCTCTAATGCATATATAAATGTGTAATACATGACATTATGGTGAGTGTAAATGTTTCATCATTCTGAACTGGAACATTATTTGAAAGTATCAGAACTCAGAGACATGCAGGTCAGTCCAAGTAAGCGCTAATAAAACCACTGCTTCACACCACCTGCTTGTAGAAACGTGTTACACAGAACCTTCTAGAAGTGCCTTAGACGGACTTTTTAAAAGTTACAGGGACTATCTCTTGCAGCCACAAAGAGTGCAGCCAAGTGCATGATTACTATGAGTCCACATGAACTGAGTTCAGCAAAGGACATGCAAGTACTTAAGAATGGTTAAATCATTTATCTCAACTTAATAATAAAGCATAAAACACTTGATATCTCTCAGGGACATTTTTGCTGTCTGAAGGGCCCGTTACTGCTGTGCTATGTACCATTAACCATAGCTTCTTTAAGTCAACAGAAGTCAAAGTACAGATAGAGTCACAAAAGGAGGAGAAGGAAAAGAGGATTCTGTGAAGAAACTACTCAGAGGGGTAAAGCCTCAGTACAACCACTTTGGCTTTTCAAAAAAGTCCCCCTCCCTGCCCCCCCCAATGCATACATGCCTTTTTGTCCTTCTTGCCTATTTCCAAAGCTGAGCTACAATGCTTAAAGCAGAAATGTTTGGCCATTTTTAAAACACTAATTTTACATAGTTGTACATTAGCTTTCATTATTGCTCCATTCAAATAATTTAACCTTTCCTCTAAAGCTGTGCCCAGTAGTTTTGCGTATGCAACACCCCTATTTGTTCAACCAGATGTGATCTTACATTCATAATCAATAGTACGATCTTCTCATTTTATGGTCACCTTCAAAACTGGGATATCATAGTGCAGTGGTGAAATTCTGAAACATGAATGGGAAAAGAAAGGTCTTCTCCAGTGATATACTGGATTCATGAAAACACACCTCTGCCTTTGTCTACTTTTTCTATCGCTCTGCTCATATTCAATACAAAGCTCCTCTCTGTAGCATATTGTGGATGCTGAACTTGTGTTACGAATTTGCTTTCATTGTATGATCTCTCTTCAATCCTAGGGATTATATATTGTGAAGGTCTCTGTATTACCCTTTGGTCAGATATCATTCATAAAAGACTTGAAATAACTTAGAAAATACTCAATGACAAAAGGAAAAATAACTGAAACCATGTCTATTGGAAAAAAAAAAAAGAGCAGCATATATCCAAGGAACCTTCTTAAAGGACGGAGTGAAGAAAAGATGACAGAATGACTATTTCTGTCTGATGTTCCAATATATTAATCCAGTCAATGTATCTCAGTTGCAGGACAGGACCACTGCAGCATTATTCTTCAGAAGTCAATAATATCTGATAATAGGATGCATCAGGAGTACAGTAATTTTTTTGAACAGTTAGGGAAAGAATTGCAGGAACCACCAAAATCGCTAAGACATGAGATGAAGCCAGCCAGAAAGAGAACGTGTTTCTTCTCCCTTAAGTACTGCAGTCGTACGTTTGCTATGAAATAGTTAAAGAGCTGTCAGAATTTCTGTTATAAATGGCAGGAGTTTATAACTCATAAAAATTCACTCCAGGCTGAAATTTGGCATAGATATACCCCAGCCTTGAATTTTTTTGTTTGTTTGTTGGGAGCCAACTTTCAATAAAGTGATGCAGCTGTTCTTACTTACTTGTGAACAAACTATAGAACTTTATCCATCTGAGATGTTTTAAGCATGAAAAATACCTTTGTTTAGAAGTATATAACTGACAAGGACTAAGTTCAATTTCAGTTCTCATAATTCAGGCTTGCTGCTCTCCCGTCTGGGGTAAATAAAGCAGGACAGCCAGAGGTTTGGCTTCCAGTGACGCAATGGCACTAGATAATGAAAACTAGAAAGCTTTGTAAGGCCCACCAGGAATGGGAAACAAGTCAGCTACCGAAACCCACATCCCCTTCCTCACATTGCCCATTCTCCGTCCTCCTCTGCCAGGCTCAACTGTGAAGGTGACACGAGCAGGGGTAAATATTGCACAGCAGACCCAGTCTGTGAACTACATCTACCAGCACAACCCAAGTCCATTCCTAGAGAAAGGAAAGCATACTGGTGTTCCTTCCCTTGGTTTCAGGTGCTCTGCTACTCTTTATTCCAGTATCGTGGCTGCGGCTAAGACTGGATTCTACTTATCTAGAGAATACTTCCAGATTTATATTAAATCTGATATGAACAACTAACCCCCCTGTATAACAAATAGGCTATTTTAATAATTACTGTAGAGCTGGTAGTTCTCCAAATCTATGCACCTGCCATTAATTTACCACTCTCCTTGCTAGATGTGATAGCCAAAAGGGGAAAAAAAAAAAAGGTAGGGAAACAGTCTGAGTCCACCAAGTGCAAAAGTTTAAAAAGGGCATCTGTGGAGTTCTTTGTAATGAAAACCAGATTCAGCAATTGTACTAAAAGACTCTTAAAACATCTGAACTTTCTGAGGCCTTGGGAAAGACATCTGCACTACAGGACTATAAAGAACTATGAAATGCAAAGCCCCTACCATGTGAATACTGATCATTACCACCTGGAAAACAAGCGGAAATAAATAATACAGGCTCCTTACTTTCTTTAGGGCCTGCAAATTCAACCAGTTGGAATACATATATTCACACTCCCAATGTCTTCTAGTTTTAGCTCACTTATCCTGCAAGCTTTCTTGTACATTTATCTGTCAGAATCATCAGCTTAAGCTGTTTCTTCTTCCCAGGAAGTGACCATCAACGCCAGTTAAGACGGACTTATCAGAGCCCCATTTGCCTGCTTTACCCAATGTCTATTCAAGACACTGAGTTTTCCTGAGGGAATGTATGAAGGTGTGAAGAAGCAGCCAAAAAGACAGAATCGGAAAATTGGAAAATTTCCAGACCAAATCTTACTTTTTGCATCACTTAAGCAAAATTCTTTCCTCTTCTACTTCTTGTTATTGTTATCAATTCATCATCTTATCTCTTATCTCAAACTCCAGTGCCAGCTTTCCTTAACTTTTTTTATAACTACCCCAATTTCCTTTTTTTTTTTAAACAAATTTGCCACTTCTTTCTTTACAACTTTTCCCAAGTCCATCACTTTCTTTCCATTTTTAAGGCCAAAGAACTAGTCCACAATAAGGCAACTTTTTCTTACTGACTACAGCCATCATCTCTCTGCTTGTCCTGCCTCCTGCCAGTCCCTCCCAAGACCAGCTGCAAAGATCGTCCACACTTCCATTTGAGTGCTTGAAGTTGCCTTTGCCCTTTGGAAGCTCTCCAGAGCTCACCTTTCATCCCCCCACTTCCCTCGATCCTTCTGGCACAGTTTTTTCCACTCCTTTAGTGGCAAAGGGACCTGAGTAGCAGCTGAACTGAGTTGTGCCCTGTTCACAGGTCCTGCTTGGAAAACTTTCCACAGGTAGAAATGAAGACTATTCTGCTAGCTGTAGGATTAGAAAAGGGTAAAGATAAGGGTGAAAACCAGGGATTTTTTCAGCCACTAAACACAGCTGTATTGTGAAAAATGCCAAAGTGTCTCCCTCAGAGTGAATATTAGGGATTCATACAATATGCAACATGAATTTGTTTCTCCTCATGAAACTAGGATTAAAAATCTACAGATTTCACAAGAATTTTTGTGATTTATCTCTACTCACAAGGGAAATTGAGATCCCATATATTTTCTGTTCAATAACTTTAATAACAGATTAGAGATAACCTGATCTTGTATATTCAGTACTCTTTTTAATTAAACCTCCAATGACACCATGATTAATGCAAAACTTAAACTAAATAATACATATAAGCTAGACAAGTTCATTAAGTTCTGGGTGACCATTTGCTTTTTTAGTCTACAGAAATAATGTGACTTATCAGGTAGTGTGCATAACACTGTACTTTTGCATACATACCAAACGCTGTTATACATGTGACTGAGAATGCAACATGCCGAGCACTATATTTAAGAAAACTGACTACGTTTAAGATTTTGTTTAAGGATGCTGCTATTTAAGATACAACCCAAAAAAATCTATAGAATAACTTCACGAGAAAAAAAATTAGATTCCCAACCCTTCTAGATATTTACTCTTTCATTCTAACAATAGCTCATTACTGGAATTGAATAACAGACTAAAGACTGCCTCTCTGCTTTTCAATTCATCAGGCTTAAGCAGAAACAGGACTGCATCTTTGGCCTTTGTTGATGCTGCTGTCCAAGCTTATTATCATATGAATATCTAGTTATTGTTTTATAAATGTTCACATTTCGGGAGCTCCCTGCTTTCTTTTCTCTCAGTAGACTTTACAATATCCACCTTCATTATCATCATGTGGCAGCATTGCTCTTCGCCTGCATTTGCTACTTTAAAAATTAATGCACTGCTATTTTCTGAATACTGTACTGCGTAAGCTGCTTATGAGTACATTATGCTATCAAGCAAGCACATGCAGAAAAGCTTCCTAAACTGTTATTCTTTCAATGAAAATACAGCTGGTTCTGCTTCAAAGGCACTTCTTTTCACCTGCAAATGGACTTGCTCCTACACTTATTCCTCAATTCATTGTCTTTTATTTGTGTCTGCA